CTGCAAAATGTGCACAGAGCAGCCTGACTTTCCACTCAGAGTTGCTTCATCTTGTTAATGAGCAATAGAAGGAAAGGAATTGGCTATTGTACAATCAGAACTGTGCCAAGGCTCTTCTTGTAATATCTTTGTGTCTCATGAGGCCTTCCCACATGACCTACAATATCAAAATAAACTTTCTTCTACTTTTTGGCAGGGTCACGAAAAAGCCACCCACAAAAACACACTGATCTTTCCCCTGCTTTTTTCAGGCTACTGATAATTAGTCAGTGCCTTTGCAGGCGATTAAGTGGACAATAAGATCCACTTCTGCCAGACTTCCTTGTCCTCCCATGCACAGATATCTTCATGCAATGAGATTACTGTGAAATTTCAGCCAGATCTGCTTAGGGACGAGTGAGGAGGCTATTCAATCAATACCTATCATGTTAGCACACCTAATTCCTTACTTTTGAACCAAAATGTGAGTGGAAGCTTGGTTATCTGAGAATTTATTTATTATTACAGGCATTTATATCCTGTCCTATCACCAAGCACTCAGGATGGCTTACAAAATATAAACGTACAATATAAAATGTCAATTATTAAAACAATATAAAACACATCACACACTTAAGAAAAAGAAGGAAAAAATAGAAAGTGCAACTGTGAAGGGGAAAAGCCTAAAACATCTAAAACCATTGGTTATTAAAAATCATGGTCGAATAAAAAGGTCTTTACCTGGCACCAGAAATGTATAACATCAGATCTCTATGGGGAGCAGATTCCATAGTCTGGGCGCCACTGTGGAGAATGTGTGCTGCTCTTGATTCTGTAAAGAAATTCTTCATTTCCCCCCCAAAAAACCCATACTCAGAAGTTGGAGAATTGAGCATGTTAGGTCAAAATAATGCTAATAATTCACATATTGGGAGAAATGACGCTTATGAATTTTCATGAAAACTTTTTAAAAAACCCTTAATATTTAGGATAAAGTGAATGTAACACTAGAAAAAATTTAAAAAAGACTGCAATTGACAAGAGTCATAGAACGCAGACTGATAAACTAGAAGAGTTGGAAGGGGCCAATAAGGCCATCAAATGCGGCCCCCTGCTCATTGCAGGACTCTGAATCAAAGCACCCATAAGAGATGGCTGTCCAGCTGCATTATGAATGGAGAACCCATGGCCTCCTTAGGGAACTGATTCCATTGTCGCATTGCTGTAACAGTTAAGATGTTTTTCCTGAGATTCAGCCAGAATCTGGCTTCCTGTAACTTGAACGCTTTATTCAATGTGTTGAACTCTGACATGGTCAAGAAGAGATCCCAGCCTTCTTCTGAGTGACAACCTTTCAAATACTTCAAGAGTGCTTCTATATTTCCCTTCGGTCTTCCTTTCTCAAGGCTCAGTTCTTCCAGTCTCTACTCACAGGGCTTTGTTTCCAATTCCCTGATCATTTCTGTTGCTCCCCACTGAAGCTTTTCCAGTTCGTTTATATCTTCCTTAAACCATGGTACTCAGAACTGGACACAATATTCAAGATGAGACCTCAGCAGTGTTGAGTAGAGGGAAACTAGTACTTCCTGTGATTACAAAGTGACACTTCTATTAATGCAGCCCAGAATAGCATTTGCCCTTTTTGCACGAAAACAAATTGCTGACTCATATACAGCCTGTGGTTTTCAACAATTTCAAGATCCTTCTTGCTTGCAGTATCTCAACTATGCATTTACCTTCTGTTTCCTAGGGGCAAAACTTGACATTTGTCCCTGTTAAATTTAATTCTGTTGGTTTCAGCCCAGTGCTCCAACCTATGAAAAACATTTTGAATTTTGCTACTTTCTTTCAGGGTATTACCTAACTCACCCAATTTTGTGTCATCTCCAAATCTGCTAAGCATTTCCTACTGTTCCTCATTGGTTAGTCATTAATCTAAATGTTGAAAAATTCTGGCCCCAGGACTGAACCCTACTTATTAGTTCTTCCCAGTTTTGAGAGGTTACCATTGATAAGCATTCCTTGAGTCTGCCAATCCACCTGAGAGTTGTTTCATTTAGTCCACTTTTTAGCTAGTGTTATAATTGAAATATTATGGGTTACTTTGTCAAAAACTTTGCTGAAGTCATAATATACGACGTCCACAGCATTCCCATAGTTCCACCAGGGAGTTTCCCTAATCATAAAATGAGATGAGATTAGTCTGGCAGGACTTGTTCTTGACAAATCCACGTTGGCTTCTAGTAATCGCTGTACTATTCCTAAAATGTTTGCAGACTGACTGCTTAATAATCTGCTATAGAATTTCCCCAGGGACTGATGTCAGACTGACTGGTCTGCATTTCCAGGGTCCTTGTTCCCCTTCCTCTTTTGAAGATAGGGACAACATTAGCTCTCCTCCGGTCTTCTGGTACTTCACTTGTCCTCCATGAGTTCTCAGAGGTAATAGGCAGTGGGTCTGAGAGTTCCTCTGCCACTTACTTTATTACTGCAAATGCACCTGATTGATCCCTGAGAGTGGAACTTGTTGAAAGTAAAGAGGTGCTCCTTGGCCTATCAAGCTTAAGCTGCAATCTAGCCCTTTTGCCAAGGAGGACATAGAGCATTTTTCAGGAAAAGACTGAGCCAAAGGAGAAATCAAGCAGTTAGATTTCTCCTTAGTTCTTTGTCATCTATTTTCATTTGCTGTCCTCATTGAGTTGCTGAGCTACCATTTCTTTCCTTTTCCTTTTGCTATGCACGCATTTGAAGAAGTCTTTTTTGCTGCTTTTAGCATTCCTCACTGACCTTAGCTCATTCTTAGTTTTAGCTTTCCTGAAACCATCCCTGCAGTTCTGTGCTTACCTGCCTATACTCTTCCTTTGTAATCTGGTCTTCTTTCCACTTCCTTATACCTGTCCTTTTTTAAAATTTATTTTTGTTTGTTTTCAGGTCTTCACTAAACTTTTTGTGAACCTGCATTGACTGCTTCCACTGTCTTTCACTTTCTTTCCTTGATCACAATTGTGCCTTTAGAATGTCTTTATCTTTTTAATTCCCAGCCATTTTGGACTCCTTTTCACATTATAGTCACTTACTACAGGACCTTGCTCATCACTGTTCTCAAGTTATTAAAATTGGCTTTCCTAAAATACATGTTTGGCTACCCTTGGCTTTTACTTCCTTTAGAATCAAGAATTCAAGTATGACAGGGGTCCTCAAACTTTTTGAATATGGGCCAGTTGAAAGGTGCCAAGGATAGGCGCAGGCCGCCAAGGCAGTGCGGGCAGGGGGCGCGGGCGGGGGGGGGGGGTGCACGTGCAGAAAGGCAGGTGTATGTGTGTGTGTAGAGATAATTTTCTCTGAGCAAGTCCAAAACGATCTCCTTGCAGGTAAGCCAGCGCCCCAGGGCTGGCTTGCTCACAAGGAGATCGTTTTGGAGTTGCTCGGAGAAAAGGCTCTCCCAGCACAGCGCCGGCTTGTTTGCAAGGAGATCCTTTTCTCTGAGCAAGTCCAAAAAGATCTCCTTGCGAGCAAGCCGGTGCCTCACCAGTGCGTGCACACGTGGCGAGCTATGACGGGCCGGATCAATGGGCATGGCGGGCCGGATCTAGCCCGTGGCCCGTAGTTTGAGGACCCATGAAGTATGACCTGGCCGCTTTTCCCTTGTCCCCTAGATTACCCCTGTTTGTTAGAATCAAGACACACCTCCAGTTTCTTCCTTCATTCACATCTCTAATAGATCCACCAGGGAGGCGGCGTACCTGGCAAGTCCATGGGTCTCTGCAACATGTGTACATTTTCATTCAGCACAAGCGTTGCTCATTTCCTTTGTTGTAGACCTTAGTATCACTGTCCTTGCCTGCCTGGCCTCCAGCCTCTTGCTTGCCGTTGCATGGGGTGCCCTGCAGTTCTACCTCTGCAGGCTGCCCTCCAGTCCCACCCTCAAGCACTGCCAGTGCATCCGTAGTTCCACCGCTTCCCCTGGTACAGAGCATCTTCCAGGTCTTCTGCTCCTGTCATCCTTTTCCAGGGAGTTTCCTCTACTTCATATTCTCTTGCCTGAAGATTCTCCCCTTCTGTCTCATCTTGCCTTTGCTCTGCTAGCTCCTGCACTTTGCTTTGCTACTGCACTTCCACTGCTCTGAGTTCTTTATCTTCTCATATTCCCTTGAGGGTGGACACTCATCGCTCCAGGACACTCATACTGTTTCTTCCAAGGGGCAACTACTTTGCACTTGTTGTGTGTGTAGACCAGGCTGATCTCAAGTAAGAGAACAAACATTGCATGGACCTTGCAGGTCACCAGCACTGGAGAGTCTTTTCCTCCATAGTCTCCATTCCCTTTTTGATTCTAACTTACTTGTGCTCTTAGAATGGCCTGTGGTTTGTCCTAACTTCCCCAAAGGTTAACAGCAGACTTGTGGTATATAAATGTGTTACAAAATACAAGCAAAAAGGAAGAAAGGGAAAAATTCAGGGGATTCCTCTTGACCTCCCCTGTCAAAGTTCGCCTTTACCCTCCTGTAAAATCCCCTGTTCAGCCCAATGGGCCACTCCGTGGAAGCTCCCTTGACCAGCTGGTACAGCTTCTGCTGCTCTGCTCAGCTGGGAGTCCAGATCCAGGATGAACTGACCCACGTCACAGCAGCTGAGGGTCACCAGGTCACTCCCTTCAGTGCCCACTCTCAGAACACACGCCTTCAATCGCAGTTCTCAGGAGCATGTGGCTGCTTCAAAAGATAGCCCATCTCTATCCTGGGACAAACATCTTCTTGATCAAAAGACCCAGCTGGCTGCTAAAATTCATTTAAAGCTTGCTGTATTTAAAGAAATATGGGGTGGGGGGGAGTTACATCTCTGTGTGTGCATGTGATTGTCTGGAAAGGAAGTAGGCAGTGAGTGATTCCTATAGCTACAGTGTTGTGGCATTTGTTAAGCAGGTGTTGATAACTTTAAGAAGCAAAGAGGAAAAATGTAGCACATTTCTTCAGGAAGAAATCTTTTTGAAGTCAGTTGATCCTAATATAAACTGTAAAAGGAGCGGGGAGGAGAAGAATCCACTTGCAAAGTGCTTCATGAAGGGCTCAGACTTGAAAGAGCAGTTTGCCTCAGCTAGTTCATATTAAACTGACTGCAATTGCACATCAGGGGCATATTCTACAGGATGCATAGGATGTATCTTGACAGAAGGTCAAGCAGCTAAGTTACCTTGGATATGCTGAAGATGTATGTCCAGGTCAGTGTACTCTCGGTGTCAGTATTTCATTCTGGACTACTTGTGGAATGTGGAATGGTTTTGGTTGACTTTACCGGCTGTTTGGATTCCTGAGAGACTGTCTCTTTGCACAAATAGGTATTGCTGTGGAATAAAATGGTTTCTAGTTAAAGTGTCACTGAAATATGAAGCTCTTTGCCTAAATACTGTTTTTCAGGAAATGATACTTTGGCTAAGATCACTCTGAGAAAATGAGGAAAGCATTCTGAAGTACATGGCAACCCTTAGGTCTTTGTTCTTGGGGTTGTTGTATATGAGGGAATAACATTGTCCTAGACCTTATTTAAATATGCCGAAGTTCCCATGCCTATGTTTATTTTGTAAAGTCACCAAAAATACCATTCCCCCTCTTTATTTACTCAATTATTTTACAGGAAGTAGTAATTGAAGATGGTACAACTGCGTATCAGAACTGGGTTGTGCCAGGGAGTGCAGTCTACAGGCAGTTCTGGTTCTTTGATGTACAAAATCCAGATGCTGTAATAAAGAATGGATCGCAACCAGTACTTGAGCAGAAGGGTCCTTACACCTACAGGTAAGTGAGATCTTGTGAGTTGGCTTTGCTCTGTAGATTTGTAGGTGGGCTGGTGGACAGACAAACTCAAATACTGAGGCATGAGTCCACTGTGCTCTAGCGTAGTCTTCCCAGCCTGGCATTCCCCAGGTGATTTGGACCAGATTTGGACCCATTAGTCTCAATGGGAGGTGGGGTTCAAAATATCTGGAATGCACTAGGTTTGGGAAGGCTGCTTGTGGTTGATTTGAACCTTTATGTCACAGGCTGGGAAACTCTTTTCATCCAAGGGAAACCTCCATTTCAGGAGGCACATTCTAGTGCAGCTGCGACTGTATGCCATCAAGTCATCTCTGGCTTATAGTGACCCTATGAATGAAAGCCCTCCAAAATGTCCTCAGACGACAGCACTGCTTAGCCATCTCTAAGTTCAAGGTTGTGGCTTCCTTTATGGATTTAATCCATTTTGTATTTGGTCTTCCTTTTCTTCTGCCTTTGACTTTCCCAAGCATGATTGTCCCGTGCTGGGTGGGGTCAAAAGCAAAGGGGCTATATCGGAGGGGTTAAAATATCACTGTACTGTAAAGCTCTTTCCATCAGTATCTTATTCCTAAGGAAAGACATTCCAAGCTCTTACTATGAGAGGGGTGGCTGCACAAATGCCCAGGAACAACCAAATGATCAGCTGGAGCCAGGACCAAGGGAAGGGTTGGGCCATCTGAGGTATGCAGGGCTGAATTTGACCCATGAATATGAGGCTCCATACCCACTTCACATGCTTGGACAATACACAGACTCACCATTCTTCCTTGTCTTCCCCCCACCCTGCCACCTTCATCTCATCCATCAATATAAATATAAATATATATAAAATAAAGGCCAATCTACTGCTCCAATACTGCTTCATAGATCAGCTAGCTACACAGTCCTGCCAAGTGCTATCTGTTGGAAACTGGGCAGAAAGGCATTCTGAAAATCTCTCCCTTGCCTTCAGGAACCTTTGCATTTGTTTTCAGGGTGGAAGGCAAGGAAATGGATGCATCATGATGGCTGAAAGTCCAGCCTGAGGGCCAAATTTTATTTTGTTGGGGTTTTGGGGGCTGCCTTCCAGTGGTGGGGATGATGAAGGCAAAAAGGGATGAGGACATAAGCAAAATGGGAAGCTCTGAAAGACCAAACATACCAGCATCTTAAAGCCTTTACTGCAGGTAACGGTTAAACTGTAAGATTTTTGCATACAAATGTTGTTTGGTAATTGAAATGTAGTATATTCTAATGCTTTCTAGAGTAGGGGAAACAGGGCAGGTTTGTCCTGCCCATATTTAACACTTTTGCTTTTCCTTGGTTTCTCTAGGACTATTAACCATGTTTAGGACTCTTCCATTGAAATTAAAGAAAACTCAGTCAAAACTGCTGAGCCTGGGCCTGGGCCTGGGCCTGGGCCTGGGCCTGGGCCTGGGCCTGGCCTTGACCTGGGTTGTTCATAGTTTAGAAAATATTCCATGTGGAGTCACACTTTGAGCTTCTTCTCAATGCTGCCTCTTCCATGATTGCAAGATAGCATCAGAAGAAAGGCCAATAAGAACAGCACAGAATCATAAAAGCAGAGTTGGCCACCAGGGCCATTGGGTCCTGCCCCCTGCTGCAGGACACCAATTCACACCATTCCACTCAGATGGCTGTCCACTTTCTCTTTGAATGTCTCTAGACTGGGAGAGCCCACCGCCTCTCCAAGCAGCTGGTTCCACTGTCATATTGCTCTGACAGTGAGGAAACTTCCCTGATATCTAGCCTGAGCCTGGGTTGTTGCAACTTGACTTGCTTATTCCGTGTCCTGGGCAGCTGTTGCCCACTTTTTGGTGGTGGTATTATGCAGTCCTTTTGATTAATACTCCTGTTTGCACACTTCAGGGATGAGAATAATCCAAAACCACATCTAGAAAAGCCCTATCTGTGCATGCAATGTAGCACTGGAAGATTTGATCAGCATGGGAATCATGTAATTTACCCCTGTACCCAGATTTCCATGTTTCCTTTGAGCTTAACTGCAATCCTCACAGCATCTGCAGGGAAGGAATGGATTTCCTCAGCAGTGCCATGTTGTTGCGAGCTATCCTGGTTGCACTGCCAACATCTGAATGGTATTGAATGAGAATTCATTTTAGGAAAGTCCTGCTGCAAGTAGAGATGAACCTGCTAGAACGAGTTGGTTGATATGGACCGATACCACTGTTTGTGCATTTGGAATGTACTTGGATTTCATACTGTCCTTGGAGGAAGCCAAGGAGAACATGGCAGGCTTTGGGCACTGTCATGATAAGCAGAAGCACATCAAAAAGTATCCCTGAAGAGAGGAAAAGTCCAATGTTCATGCAGAAAATTCATTCAGCCTGCTGTATTAATGCTTGTCTGTCCAGTTATAATGGTCCTGCTTTTACTTTACCTGCTAACTTTGATGTGGAATGTCTTCCTTTTCAAAGGGTGCGATACTTAGCCAAAGAAAACATCACAGAACATCCTGACTTCACAATATCTTACATGCAGCCAAATATTGTCCACTTTATGCCAAGCATGTCTATTGGGACGGAAGATGACAACTTCACATTTGTCAACCTTGCTGTTGTGGTAAGTGAATCCAGTGATGGAAACAAAGAGGGAGGGGTCTGAAGATCACAGCGATACCATGTTTTCAGGGTTATGGGACATTGCTTTCTCTCATGCACTCATCTTCCAAAACACACCGGATCAGTAATATGGCAGCCAGGCTCAGTTCCCAGCAGTTAATCGGTTTGGCCAGAGGACACTTGTCATTTCTTTCTTCCTGTGCTTGAAAAATACTGCGGAGCTTACATGAAACTGGTCACACTCTCCCCTTCAAGCATTCCTTGCCTTAACCTTTGGGGACAGAGAAATCCCTTGTCCATCCTGTAGTTGGCTTTCCCGAAAGGCTACTAACAATGTGCCAATTAGTGCCAGTATAGCAGCATCTCCAGGCCCACCCAGTCCTCCCGAGATTGTGGGTCTTAAGGAAAGTACATTGCCGAGTCCTCTGGAAACCTGGCAATAGAATACTAGTTTGCATCAGCATAGATGATATGGATGCCTGCCTTCTCTGCCTCCCTTTATGCAAAGGTGTGAAATCTCTCTCCCCCTCCCCTCCCCTCCCCTCCCCTCCCCCTCTCTCTTGTTCTTTAAATTATCTGACCATACCATGTTAATAATAATAGTTTTGGATGCTAAAATATCACAAAAGTAGTGTCTGGTTCTGCATTTCCCCGTATAGAATTGGCAATTGCCAACCTGATGACAGGCTGAATCTAATGAGTACCGTAATGAGAACCATTTTTCATGCGTTGATGAATCACAGCCGCTTCACTACCAACAAGTGCATCAAATTAATGCACACAGAAGCCCCTGAATGCCCAGAAATGCATTAACCCCAAATTCCTGTTCTTCCTTTTCGTAGCCACTCTGTTTTTCAACTATGTGTGCACTGGAAAGGAAAGGAAAGGAAAGGAAAGGAAAGGAAAGGAAAGGAAAGGAATGGTGGCATTAGCCTGTAATTTAGCCTCTCATGTGCTCTTTTGTGGCTGGCTTGGGGATGCTGGGAGTTGTAGCCAACATATCTGAGGGCAACAGGGCTGTTCTGCACCACTCCCGCATGGCAGGGAACGGGGGCATAGAGCGAGATGGCTCAGGTGTGCAGCTCCAGGCACTCTTGCCGCTCTCCAAACAGACCTACTTTGCGTACAGAGCCAGGTGCTGCTGCTGCTGCCTGATGCAGCCTGCGCTCCCAGGGCACCACTTAAATGCCAAGCCAAGGCCAGCAGGGGCTAAGGGCCTGAACTGCTGTCCTGTCCTGAGTTTTGCCCACCTGGCTGAGCAACTAAAGTAGCAATGAACGGGGCCAGTGCAGAGAGGCGATGTGCCTGTTCTCAGAAGGGCATCATGCCTGAAATCCTGGACAACCGCAAGCCCTTGCCCTTGTGAGCCCATGCTATCCTGTCTCCACTCTTTCCCAGGGATATCACCTTCCAGGCTTGGTGCTTGGTTTCTCCCCCCTTTCCCTGACTCTTCCCCTGACAGATTGCATCAGGGATTTTAAAGTTCATGCTCTGGGTATTCAGAAAGGAAATCTGTCCATGCGATTGTGCACATTGTTCACTACAAACACAACTTTGTATTGACTTAACCAGCCTGCACCAAAGCAGTACCCTGTAACTGCTTTGAAATATAATCCTGTCAACTGTTATGGTGGATAGCCAGGGATAATGGGAGTTGTAGTTCAAAACAGCTGAAGGGCCTTCCCTTCGGAGACGTCTGGTTTCATTGCCCGAATCCTGGAGACTGAAGATACATAATGTCACTGGAGCTCTCGCTTTAGAGGTATCTATTCTATCTCCATTACAAAGAGGGAATGCTGAGATTACACTTGAGCTATGATCTATTTTGACGACCCTTGGTCTTTTCTCTTTCCCAGATTATCGGAAAGCAAGCTGACAGCAAACCCTATCATACCTAAAGCGGTTAAATGTTAACTGAAGCCTTGAAAAAAAAGTTGTACCTCATGCAAAGCCCTGCAGTTTATGTTGTCATCCAAGTTTATGTTCAAGGGTTTTATTCGCAAAGTGACCAAGCAGATTTGGTTTGATTCAGTGACATGGCAAATAGCTTATTTGCCTCAGACTGATTAGGAAAACCACCTGATTCCACTTGGGGCCCAAATCTGAGGAACCTCAATTCAGAAATCTGAAGCTTTGTGCCTCCCACTGACTTTCACTGGAACTCAATTGAATGCCTGTAACTTTTTTTTTTTTTTTTTTTTGCTGCTGCTGTTAAACAAAATTGGATGAATCTTGCAACCAGCATTTGTTTATGAGTGGATGAAGCCTGACAATATCTAGACAAAATGGTACTCTACTCCTTTGTTGTGTTTTCCTAAACGGAAAGCTGATGCTGATTTGTTCCTAGAAAGAACTGGATGAAATATCCAGGGTCAGCTGCCCCTTCTGAGGAGATAAACCTGCCAAGTTTCAGATGAATAAATATTGTGGCAGTAAGTGGTATAAGAACAGCCTTTGCAGTTTTGAGGGTTTGAGAAAGGACAACAGCCCACTGCATATTTGCAGACAGTTGTTAGGAAAAAGATGCACACCGTACAGCAGCTCTGGATCTGGCAAAAAACCGGGAGGAGAAATACAGAGGATGAAATGCCAAAGGGGAGTTAGAGAAGGGGAGGGGAACATCTTTTCCTGCCGGTGGAAGCTCTTCTTTCCAAGGGTTTCCCATGTCTGGGTCGGCTGCCATCAATTAGTATGAATCTCTGAAACACCGTATTTTCTCAGCTACCTGGAGAGAGCTGAGCCCTTTGCCAAGGAGCCTTTCTTTCAGCTCAATCCAGTTCCAGAACCCAACAAAGTTTGGGAGTTTCATGATTCATGAGAATCTGAGTTCAGTGAAATCCACATTCATGGGGGAGAGGGACTGATAATGGTTTTGTCCAATTATCCAGAGATCAAAGTAATCCTCCCCCCAGTCTCTACTGTCAGCAGTTTAGTCAGCCAATCAGAAAGTGGTTTAGTAGCTGGCCCATCCAAATGATTCAACATCTGAGTTACAAAAAGAGCTATCCAGTTTCAAATATCCAGTTGGGCTATTTAAAAAACAGCATATGTATTTTGGATGCGTGTTATAGATAAGTCTATTCCGGGTTTCTCACATGGTGCCAATTTTCCAGATGATCTAGGAAGAACATCAGAATTTAGGGACTTGGTACATATCTTCACTTTTGTTGATTTTTTCCCCCTGTTTCTGCTTCCATGTGTGGATGTGGATAGGGTTTCTATAAAAATGGTGCCCATTACAGAGACATTCCTAGCAAGATCTCAGAAGGATAACTCCAAGGCCTTCCCCTAGGCCTGGGCAAATATGCATGAAAAATAGCTTAAGGCTTTGTTTTCTGTCCAACTGACACCAAATTTACAGACCGTGCAATAGGGCAGGATGGATGATGAATATTTCAGGCCTCCAGCTGTATCAAACAGTTTCCAAGCAAGCATGCAATGCTTTACCTTCCAAGCCCCACCAACACCATCAAACATTCTTAATCTTCCTGTCCCTAGAAAGAGAAGTACCCAAGAACAGTGAACACTGCAGCAGCGCTGTGATACTGTACTTCGACATCCCTGCCCCAAAGTACTGGGATTCGAAGACCTGTTATTTGTGACTAGTAGCTGGTGCCATCAGCTCAAACCCTTATTGTTCCTCTCCTGCTGACTGTAGAGTTTCAGTTTGCAGGCAGGGAAGGTGTCTTCCTCTTTATTTAACTAACTCTGTTGTACATAGGAAACCAGGATGCTGGGACCAGTGTAGCCTTGCCAGTACCATCCTAGTTTCCCAAGTACTCCCAGATCTTGTAACGATTTCATCTTACATCCAGCCTCCCTAAAACTGTACCTACAGCTGCTCTTCTAGTATTGTATACTTGTATTGACTGCAGTCATCTCCTAAGTCATGGGCAATGTGCATTTCTGTCTGTTCCAGGCTGCACCTGCTTTGTATCCGACTCCGTTAGTGCAAGCCTTGATGAACATGTTCGTTGTGTCATCAAAATCGAAGCTCCTTCAGACCAGATCAGTGAAAGAGATCCTCTGGGGCTACAAAGACCCTTTCTTGGCAAGCATCCCTAAGAAAGATGTTCCAACCACAGTCGGTGTTTTCCTTCCTGTATGTATGCATCCCATGGAGAACTCGAATCATTTGTAACCATGCCAAGTAGAAAAAACACATCTATTTTAAAGGCCATTAGAATTTAGAAAGACTAGGATTAGAGACTAAAACCCCATATGCTTATAACAAGTAACTGGATGGACTTTACTTAAAACACATACTATGTGTGTTTTCCCTTTTTTTTTTTTTTTACCCTAGGCACAAAGGTCCTGATCCAAATATTTAAAACTCCCTGCTACCCTCATGCTGGGATTCCGATGCCCCTATATCTAAAAATGAAAGAACTTCTCACTGCAAATATGTATTTAAAGTAATGTATTTTTAGCCATAAGCTATGCATGTACCTAGTTTAGCAATTTTTTAAAAAAATCAACTCCAGAAGTCCCTGGAGTAACATGACTTTTGTGTCTCTCTACAGACTTCATCCCCTGAGAAAGAATAGTCTGTGGTACTCATTACCTCTGTGCTATCATGTTGATGTGGGACTTTAACCGAATCTCCACTTTTAATCTTATGCTTAAAAGATGCAAATTCTTGGTTTAAGAATCATGCCATTTTACATGATGGTCTCCTGAAGATAATCTGCTGCCCTGCCTTCAGTCTATGCAAACACACCTTCCTACCCTTAAGAGCTGTGACTTTAAATGCTGGTTTAGAGTCCAACCTCCAAAATCATGTGTCAAGAAGAAATGGATGTTTCTCCATTATTACTGAACTAAAAACTAATTGCGTATGTCCTCTCTCTGTCTCCCCCCCCCCCCCGTGTGTGTCCTAAAAGTACAATGAAACCTTTGATGGGCCCTACAGAGTCTTCACTGGGAAGGAGGACACTGAAAAGACAGCAATAATCCAAAGTTACAAAAACAAAAGGTACCGTCTATTTGAAAATACAAGTCCGTGGATTGGTTGACCTTGTGGGGGAGGTTGCTATTTCTCAGCTTAGCCTTGAACAAAGGAAGTCAAATGGCTTAGGGGAATGAGTTCTTAGGGGATGGGTGGATAGACATGAGATGAATCTTGAGCTTATGAATTCACAGCCTATCAAATCTGGTCACAATGTACTTCAGTTCATGCAGAAAAGAGCTCTTGTACACTTCACCAATGCTCCTCCAAACCTATCCCAGTGCCAGTCCAGGACTCCTGGTATCACTCCTCTCCTTGGAATAAGGCCTCCTGCATTTCTAAATATAAGGGTGCTCTGTGAAGATACACGAACATAAGAGAAGTCATGCTGGATCTAGTCCTGCACTCTGTTTACACGGGATCTCGCAAATAGAATATGAGTGCAGCTGCCCAAGTTCTGGCTAAGTTCCCCAGCAGCTGCTGTCCATACACATAGTGCCTCTGATTTTGGAATCAGTTGATGGTGTTGTATTGGTTTGTCTGTGATGTAAGCTGTTGTAAGAGCTTTGGCTATTGGGTGATACAGAAATTAAATGTATCATGATCGCTGGTAGCTGAAGTGGCATCTAACTACAGGACAGTATGTTCAGAAGAAACCTTTATTAAAGGAGAAGGATGAGATGCATTTCCTTATTCCAAATGGCTATGGAATGTGATATGGATATGAGGACATTAAAGGAGTCAGAATGAATATAGTTTTCTCCTCCCTTTTTAAAAACAAATGTTCCATCGCCATTGCTGTGCAGTTGTATCTTGGACATGGCAAGGGTTCATGACAAAGGCCTGATGCCTTTCCCAATCTCAGCCTGGCTGCAGTCCCAGTAGCCTTGCATACTCCTAGAGCTGAATGGGTGGGACAGCCACATCATTAACATCATAGGAGTATCTGTTCTAGAAAAAAAAGTCCTTGGCATACATTGGACTTGTCTATTGATAAAGTGAAATGTTGAGCTAGACAGACCTTTGTCTGGAAAACACTGTATGGCCTGGGCTGATCTAGATCATCTTTGTCTTTGTTTTAAAGCACCGTTCCATACTGGGATCAATACTGCAATATGGTCAATGGTACAGGTAGGTGTTTGAGTATCTACCATTACTGGTTTTCTGATACTGAGGAGATCACTAGGTAGTGTGCAAGCGTGCACAGATACCAGCTCTCGTATCTATGTAGCTAATCTCAGCTTCAAAAAGACAAGTGTACAATTAGTGTTCTGTTTACTTACCTTTATACTACTTCAATAGGTTAAGATATATATTGCCATTCGGTAGAAACAGATGTACCCCCATGTTGCCACTGAGCATATTCTTACATATGGTATTTATTGTGGGTTTTATTTTTTTATTTTTTTGTAATTGTGAGCTGCCCAGAAGTGCTGTGGCACAATTGGGTAGCATACAAATGTTTTAAATAAATAAATATGATGCAGCATACATATGAAGGCTCCACTCTTCCATTATGTAATCATCTAATGAAGGTCCTTTCATTCCTTGGGCATCATGAAGTCCTTTGTTGGTCTCTGCAGTTGGAAGGTGGAGCAGTAGATTTATGGAAAGATCATGTTCTTGTAGTACCGCGGTGCCATGCTCTGCATGCAGAATTGATCTGTGCATCAAAGAGGCTTGCTTGAAAGTTTGCACACCTTGAACACTAGAATCTTCAAGGGTTGGAGCAGCTATGCCAGCCCTTGAATCATTGAATAGAATGGAAATGTCTGCCTTGAATCTTCTCAATCTTTCTTCCTAGTCTGGCATTTGCTCTTTCCCCATTGCACTCAAGGTTATCCCAAGAGGTAGAACAGTGAGTACCCCTGCAAATTCAAGCTGCATAGAACCCAAGGGCAGCCAAGTCCCCCCTTAAGGCATATGTACTGTGGGGCTTACCTATAGGAAGCCATAAGCATTAGGAGGTGCCCAAGAACTTTGTTAAAGATTAATTCAGCTGATTCACATTTTTAGTTGATCAGGAAAGACTATACTATCTCATGCTTATTAATAAATAAGCATAGTTAATCACTTGGAATTGGCATGGGAAAAGGAACCATAACTCTAGATGTTAATAATTAGTCCTGCTGTTGTGCAAAGGTATGCACTGAGCATATTTTAGGCAAGTAAATAGCCAGAACTCCAACTTGAGAGTAAAATTATGTTCATTTTAGGAACTTGGCAACTAGTTGTGCTTATGAAACTTCTGATATCTCAATATCTTTCTATGTCCTGGTGTGGATCTGGTGGCCCTTCCATTCTGGTGCAAAGTTTTTCCTTGGATGCCTGTGCTGAGTCACCCAATGGCCTCTTCCTCTATATTCAGGGCTACAGGGATGGATCATCTTCCTTTCCAGTCAGCCTGCATTTATCCTCCAAATACTACCACCACACTCATGAAATGCCATGCAAGCAGAGTGCCATTGCCCTCCCTCCCTCCTCTACCTGCCCAAATAAATATAAATACACCACTGAGTTAATTTCTTCCACCTTTGATTCCGTTTGCAGATGGGGCGTCATTCCCACCTTTTCTCAATAAGGAACAAGTGCTGTATTTCTTCTCTTCTGATATCTGCAGGTAAAGGGCATCAGGATGTGTTTCTGTCTATTTGATTTACCTGGCAGACTTCCCAGACTGTCAACACTAAAACAGCCACAGCGTGGGAGATTGGAGCAGGATATTTTGTGCCGCCAGATTTAACGGCAGCAGCCGGAGGGTGTGTCCCTGCCCCCAGTCATGACTGCTGTGTTGGTTCTTAGTTAAAACTACCTCTCCTCCCAGTACTACAAGGCAAAAATTCAGAGGCCTGAAGAACCCCAACACCATAGCCGGACGTTGTAGGCCTTCACATTTTAACTGCATGGGAATCTGCCAATATTCAGTAATTTCACTGGGGCAGTATTTCTTCAGTGTCTCAGGAAGAAAATCACAGAAAACCAGAGACCCAAGCTAAGACTAGAAAGTGACTTCTGTTTGTATGGGGGCTTCTTAGTGGTGGCACCCCAGTTATGAAATAGTCTCTTCCAAGTGGTTTGGCTGAAGTCTACTGTGTCCTTTTGAAGCCCTTATAAAAACCTCTTATACTTCTAAGTCTTCTGGGTGCAATACTAGCACCAATTGTTTCTATCTACTTTTAAGTTTATTTCTGCCTTTTTCATGGGCTGATATCAGAATGAGCCTTCACACATTTAGCTTTGCATTAATTTCTTTGTATATCCTGTAAACTGTGATGGGAATCTTTACTGAAGGGAGGTATAAAAATGAACCATAATCTGGTTGAAACACCAAGTAATACTTTCAGGCTTGTTGAAGCCACGCTGTGCTTGAAGGGAAGTGACTGCCACTTAAACGTATAGACAGATCCTTAAATCTGGTCCTTTTATCCCATTATTACCCAGGTCAATCTACGGCCTATTTGACAGTGAGCAAGTTGTGAAGGACATCACACTCTATCGCTTCATCGTACCTCCAGCTGCTTTTGCATCTCCAAGAGAGGTTCCTGAAAACATTTGCTTCTGCACAGAGAGAGAGATATCCAGGGACTGCACATCAGCTGGGGCACTGGACATCAGTTCCTGCAAAGCAGGTACCAGATTGCAAGTAGGAGCTCTTGAAGCATCAAGTTTTATCACATCCTTGCATCCCAGTGTCGAATCTTTGCTGCACATTTGGATAACCTTTGATACACCAAGTGCTTCATTCAGCATTTGGAACGTGTGTGTTTGTCCAAATAGACTACGCAAGCTTTGTAAATATGCACAACAACCCACACCAGTTAGCCCACACACAAAGGTAATTGGCCAAAGCCCTTCTCCTAACCATGCCTTCTTCAGAAGTGAGGTTTTCTTACCACAAGGGAAAGGACTCCCTCCCTCCCTCCCTCCCTCCCTCCCTTTCTTGGTAGAAGCATCCCAGTCAGGTAAAGTCCTCACTGGGGAAGTGCTAATTTATGTGAAGTTAGAAGTCTTTCAATTGCACTTTAAAGTCTGAGTCTTTAAATTGTACTTCCACATGCTTGCTGTTGTGGCGTTGTTGAAAACTGCCTTAAAAGAATTGGTTTTAAAAATGCGGTGGGGGGGACCGTCCTGTAGGGGCTCCCAGAATAATTCAGATTCCCAGCTCGGAGGCCAGAGACAGTCCTCCAGGCTTGGAGGTGTGACTGTCCCCCAGTTTTGGAGATGTCAGAGGAAGTGTTCTGGGAGGTGCTCTCAAAACAGAGAAGAGCCTCAGACAAGAGTTGAAGATGAGAGTTAAAGGAGGTGTTTCAGGGGCATGGAGAGGAGACCAGAGTTCACCTGCTATCCTGAAGCAGCTCCAGACTCCTTCCCTCCCCCAGATGCTAGACAGCTAAAAATGGCTGCTAAGCAAAAGCACAGAGGAACTTCAACTAGCCCTTGATACTCTTCCTGCTTCAACTAGCCCTTGATACTCTTCCTGCTCTGCATCAGAGAAGCAGCAGTTTTTGTGCTGAGAAGCTTTTCTCAGCAGGGTTGTGAACTAAATGGGTGAACTAAAGCAGACAAGTAGCAAAAAAACAAAACAGGCCTTTAGTACTGTGCTGAAATCACATGAATATTGCTCCTAAGGACATGCAGAACTTTCTGCAATGATGGGAGATTATGTGCTGCAAGTCCATACTCAGGAGATGCAAAATTGAAATGAGGCTTGCATGAGAGGCAGCTTCTCCATGTTTTGCATGTTCTTTTGCCAGTGCAAGAGCATCATGGTGCATGTTGACAGGTCAGAACTGCCGTGGCACAAGGCGGCAGCTGTAGGGAGTGAGAAGGACAGTTGTGTTGTCCCAGGGCATGCTGATCTGGACTTGAAGAAAGAGGAGGAGGAGCAGAGGAAGGGTTGGTTGGACTGTGGGTGGCCAATCCAAGGTGTTGTGATGAGAAAAACGGAGGTGCTTCTCTCAAGGCCAGACTTGCCAGGTGGTCAGGCAGTCTCTGGGAATAAGCAAGATGTACAGCTGGCAGGAAGGGACTTGGAGCAGGGGTGTTTCTCAGACTCAGGTGGGATAACCATGGCTCTTCATCCCATGAAGCTTTGCCAGCAGAGGAGAGTGGTCAGATTAGAGGACTGGCATGCATAAAAGAGGCATACTCCCTTTCAGAAGGCCCCACCAGAAGGGATGGGGCCCAGGCATGCTCATAAAGAGGGGAATACTAGATTGGGTTCAACAAACTGATCTGTGCATGTTCAAAGAATCAAAAAAATGTTTTAATAACTAAATAAATAAATAAATAAATAAATTCTGGGAAACACTTTGGTCAATAAAGAATGTTTTGAAGAAAGGTCCATGGCTTGAATGGGAGAAGGAAGCAAACAGAGCTCACTAAATTTGCCTCTTAAAACATAAGCATCATGCTAAGCCCTGGATCCTTTCCTTTGGTCAGATTGCTAAGGGAGAATGTAACTTGAGAATGTAACTTTTTCCTTGAGAATGTAACTTTTCCTGGGGGTTCAGTAGCCCTTGAGAGGGTACAGCATGCCAGAGGAGGAAAAAGGGGAGAAGGACATCTCTTCTTCTCTGATGGGGGATTACCTGCAGCAGACAGGAAAGGAACCAGGACTCAGAGTGTCCAAGAGATGCTGGGAGTCAGAGAGGGGAGTCGTTCTTGTATGCATCCTTTGCCCTTCTGACCATCCAGCTTGTCCACTGTAATTCCATGTCAGAGCTGCACACTGTGCACCAGAGAACAGGCTGCCCATCAGCCCCAAGCCCAGTATGGCCCTCCAGGGCTCTCCAGGCGGTTGTGCCTCCTTCCCCTTTCCCCAAGCACCACTGCTTTGGCAGTTTCCTGGCTTTTGCACATGTCCCCCACTCCAAATTCCTCTCTGAAGGCTTCCTTCCTGGCAGGAATTGCTCGAACCCTTCTGATGCTTTGCCTTTCACCCCACCTCTGCTAGAAGGCAGCCCCTGAGAACTTGGTGCTCAGCCCACAGCCCTGCTCTACCGCCTTCGCAGGAAGCTGCACGCTTGTTGTCTCAGGTGACCGCCACGTCTGCTGAGCTTATGCAGTGAGTGTCCACATGATGTCTACAGATAGCATACATGCCTATGTGGGAAAGCGAGAAAACAGTCCTCTCGGTCCTGTTAACTAGGCACAGCAGACATTTCAAGTCTGACCTTACAGACTGTTTCTTTTCCCTCCCTCCAAAGGAAAGCCAGTATATATCACGCTACCCCACTTCTTGTATGCGAGTGAAGACGTTACTTCAGGAGTTGAAGGGCTGAGTCCGAATCTGCAGGAGCACATGACTTATTTAGATGTGGAACCGGTAAGGCACGGCACATTGTAGCTCATCCCTGTCATTGCAACAGAGGGTCATTATGCCACCCAGAGTATTACACTTTGGCAGCAGAGCTAGGACAGTTAGCGTGTGCTTCCTTGACAGCAGGAGTGTGCGATTGGTTCAGGCTTGGAGAGTTACTTCTGGTGTCAGACAAACACACATGCTTCCCATTCCACATGCATCAAGCCTCCCTGACCACTGACTACTAGGGATCATTGCAAATGGGCTGGAAGGTGGATCTAAAAGTTACTCCCATCTACCAGTGATTGTCACTGAAATTGCTACTTCTCTGCTGGTACAAGCAGGTAAGTGGTGATCTTGGAAGCCGCAGAGTAGTCCTGGGGCCTGCCGGCTTCAGGGTCCACACAGGGAGTGGCCAAGGGCTGCAGGTTGTGCACCCTTGATTTACATACTGATTAATACTTGTTTTAAGGACTGCAGGTGGCGCAGTGGTTTAAACTGCTGTGCTGCTGGGCTGGTTGATCAAAAAGGTCGCTGGTTCGAATCTGCACTATAGGGTGAGTTCCTGTTGCTCCGTCCCAGCTCCTGCCAACCTTGCAGTTCGAAAGCATGCAAATGCAAGTAGATAAAAAGGTACCACTTCGGTGGGCAGGTAACAGCGTTCCGTGCACTTCGGTATTTAGTCACACCGGCCACATGACCACGGAGACTGTCTGTGGACAAGCGCTGGCTCCCTCGGCTAGGAAACGGAGATGAGCATCGCCCCCTAGAGTAAGGCATGACTGGACATAATGTCAAGGGGAAACCTTTACCTTTTAATACTTGTTTTCTCGGCTGGTTTTCTGAGAGCTTCCATTTTTGCACTCCCATTGAAAAAGGAGGCCTCTGCACAGAATTTTTACTGAAATATTGTAAATGAAAACCACCATATTTGTGGATACTGGCACTTTTCTCCCACAATGCCGCCTCCTGTCATAAAATCAACCCTTAAGTAGGGGGAGAGAAGAGAAAAGAATGTTCTACTACAAACAGCGATCCCCACTCCATCTTTCTAGAGAAATGCTTATGTCCCTTTCCCCTCCATTTCTCTGGCCACAGATAGGATGGAGAATGTCAAGCGGACATTTCTGCCCAGCTCTAGTTTCTTCCAGGCCTGCACAGAATATGAAAGCACGATGCAAAGTTTCCAGGGATGTAGCTTTACAGTCTGGTTACTATAGTGGTAAGCAAGCAGTTCCACCCAAGTCTCTTCATTGCGCTTCTCCTGCCCAGTCAAGGGTGAATTGATCTATGACTCATTCATATTCACTGTCCCAAAAGAAAGTGTTTAGCTAAGTTAGCTGCAATCAAACCATATAAACCATGTAACAGGCTCATTTGCTGACCGTACTCTACAACTGCCTCTCTTTTGAACCTGACCTACATAAACTATTTTCTCTCTCTCTAATGTCATTAATCGTTAGAATCAACCCCCGTCGTAGCCTTAAAATCTATTTGTTCTGTGTTTTTTAAGACAACAGGATTTACACTACAGTTTGCCAAAAGGCTGCAGGTGAACTTATTGGTGAAGCCAAACAGCAAGATTACGTAAGTATTTGGTATCCCCTTTTTTCCTGACTGGGAGAGAGATGCCACATAAATGCATGTTCAGATGATTTGTGTTGGGCTTATGAATCCTGTGTGGGCTTCTACTCTGATCAATTCCAGGATGTATTCTTCACAATCATAGCTTTTTATGTATTAGTTTGATTCTCCTCAAGATTTTACATTACAGAGAGGATACAACAGTCTTTCCTAATCTGGTGCCCTCTAGGTGTGCTGGACATTAACTGGTTGGGGAATTTGGACGCTGTAGTCTAGCGTGATGGAGGATACAACGATGGGGAAGGCTGGGACAGCAATTTTCAGTGAGAGTGGGCAGCACTGCGTGGAACTCCTTGGGCTTCATTGTTGCCCTTGCTAGCAGCCCTTACCTTTGCTTCACTGCATTTTGGTAGCAAAGCAGCAACAGTGGCAAAAAATGGCCAAATTTGGCCATCGCAGGCCACAATTTCAGTTTGCTGCTGAAAGTCAGAGGCGGAGCCTGGATCGTTTTGATTCTGCTGTGGCTGCTGAAATTCAGCAATGGTTGCATGGTTTTGATGGTTCCTGGCAGAGTAAGTATGGTTGAATTACTTGTGAGTAGACATGTGTAAGGTTGCACTGAAAGTAAGTTTTGAGATTTATCTTCAGGAATAATATTATTATTAATTACATTTCTATGCTTCCCATAGCTGAATCTCTCTGGGGAGTTCCCAAGGATCATAGAATCATATGGTTCGAAAGACCATTGGGTCCAATCCCCTTCTCAATGCTCAAGTCTCCCATCCAAATTCTAACCAGGCCTGACCCTGCTTAGCTTCAAAGATTAGGTAGGATCAGGCACTTCATGCTATAGATAGATAGATGAGGAATTTTGTACCAGATCTTGCCAAAACTCTTTAAGTTGAGAGTGTACAGTCCTTCTGTGCTGCTTTAAAGGGATATCTAGGTTTGCTCAGAAGGCAGCAAACATTCTTGGCTGCATTTGGTCATATTAACAGCTGTCATATTGATGATGGTCAGTCTTAATGCAGATCAACCTCTCCAGGCCTCAGTTTTTTATTTTCATGTTACACTTAAGCAGACCTAATGAAGAACAGAGTTCTCTCATAGGCCACTTGCTAGCAGATTTGGAGAAAACAGCTACATAAATATGTATTCATTTAAACATTTAAACTCATGGTAGCATCCAGTATTAATTCTCTGTAGAAATGACCAATTGCAAGGCATGAGACTTAAGTTACTCACAATTGACTGAAGTCCCACTCATTTTGAGAGGTCAGTTCTACACAGAACTAACAATGGATGCTACCCAGTGGATCAATCCTGTGGCCCCTAGACAGTGTCTGAGAGGCCATAGGAAACTTCAGATTTCCATATCCATCCTTGGAGCTGGGAATCAGAGGCCGAGCTCCCTTTCCTAATTCCTTCCCAGCTGATGCAGAAACGCTTTTGGTTGAGAAAGCAAGCCTGGGATGTTCCAGGTAGAGAGCAGAGGCCTGGAGAGGTGATAGGATGAGCTATCCTGATGCCTCTACATTTTTCTTCATTTCGCTTCTAAATACAGGTCTGAGTGTACAAGCAAGGTAGGGGGACAGAGAAAGAAGGTACCCCCTGCCATACCTCCCTCTCTGCATAGGATGATCATAAGCCTCTGAGTTGGCAGCACTGCAGGCATCGCAACAGTGCTCATAGTATTGTGATTAGTAAACTTGCACTGAAGACAGGACTCCGGGCATCTGTGCATTGCTGCTTTTCTTACTCTTAATCCAGCTCTTCAGAATGGCATTACTCTAATTTCATTTTTATATTTTTATTACAGGCCTTTAAAAAAAGTTCAGAGACCCTTTCTCTTTCCTATTCTGTGGCTAAATGAGGTGAGTGGGTTTTCTCCCCTCTCATCTATCATTTCCCTTACTGTTAAAGAACTTCAGGTGCATATTATTTGATAGCAAAATGTAATTTTTAAAGTGAGCATACACGCAAAGGCTTGCCTCTGTGAACAACTGTGCTTTTTAATAAAGTGAAATTATAGCTTAGGTATTACATACTTTCTTCCACCACTTTTTAAAGCAATGACTTTCCAGGGTCATAGGGGCCTACCTGGCTTTGATTTCCTATGGAAGAAGATTAGTAGAAGCCTCTGTTGTCCTGTAATATTTAGACTTTGTTTTAAATGTGTCACCTATTAGTCCACCTATGCTCAATCTTAAAACACTCCAGCAGAAGCTCCCCTTGCATGACAACATTTGCTGGAGAAAGGCAGCGCTCCAAAAGCACTTTCTGAAGCAACCTTCTCCAGATGTTTTGGGCCAACCCCCATCAGTCACTGCTGACATGACCAATGGTCAGAAATGGTGGGCGTTGCCATCCAAAACATCTGCTGGGCATCAGGTAGAGGAAGCAGTTTAGGGGCTCACTTTTCTCTGATCCCTCTCTTGAACTGCAGCCTATCTCAGAATTGCTAGCTTCCTGTTTTCTCTGGATGATGGTGGAAGCCTGGGGTGAGAAGTGAGATTAATCAGTGATCTCTTTCTGAGGTCCGAAGTTACCAGAAGGCAGAGCAGCTTTCTGCTGACTACTCTTAAGCAACATCTGCTGCTACTCTTCCCTCGTTCTTCTGCACAGCTGTCCTGAGCCACACAGCACCACTGTGGAGAATGGAGGCAGAATTCTGGGCCTGTGTCCTTTGGGAACACATGTTGGGCTCCTCGAATGGAATGAGTCAGAGAGGTGCAGCAATTTTAGCTGTCCCTTCTCCTCCAAATCCAAGGGAACTGCTCTGGTTCTAAACCAGTGCTGGATGTCAGTCATAGACTGGGTGAGGGCAGCACAAGTGCAACTTTATCCAGCCGAGGCAGAGGTGCTTCTGGGTAGTCAGATGGCAAATCGGTGAACTCAACCAGTGCATGAAGGCTCTTCCCAAAGATCCAGGTTTGCCGTTTGGGTGTATTCCCATATTCAGCCCTGAAACTGGATGGCCAGGTCTGAGTGGTGGCCAGAATTGCATTTTCACACTTGAGACTAGGGTACCCACTGCACCTGTCCTTGAAGACATCTGATCTGGTCATATTCACCCAAGCCTAGACTGCATCCCTAGGGTCCACATGGGGCCTCCTGCTCAGAAACTTCAGCTGACCCAGAATGCTGCAGCCAGACTGAGCCTTCCCTTCTTTTGACCCTACTACCTTCAGAGGCACACTCAGTGATGATATGAAGGAAGGCCTTCTCAGGGTCTTCTCCCTGGTTGTGGAGCTCCTTGCCAAAGGAGGTCAGGTTTGCTGTTTTTCTGCCAGTGGGCAAAGAACTTTCTATTCAAGCAGGGCCCTGGGGTGCAAGGGGACTGTTGGGTAGGGTGCTGTTTCCATTCAGTGATTGCTTTGTTTTAATTGTCTTTTAGTGCATTGCTCTATTAATGTTCTAATCCTACTGTATCTAAAATTGTAAGCCACCTGGAATTCTACTTTTCTTGATAGAAAATGGGGGATACAAATCAATAAATGCAGTGCACAGGTATTTATTGATCTGTAAATAAAGTGATTGCTTCGTCAGCAGAGTTTGCTCCATGTAGGAAGGTTTTGGGTGTGTTTTATCTAGAGTGGCATTCAGAGATATGACACCATTTCCTGTGCTTTCCACATAATCCAACCCCCACGTCCTGTGCAAGTGCTCCAACAGCAGATGTCTTCACTTCTTGGAACAGCTTATCTCCTAACTCTTCACCCAACCCCCTTTCTTTCCTCTCTTGCTCCATCTTGTGTTGTAATCGCCAGTCCATTCTATTGTTCATGAGAGAACTGGGTGGAACCAGCCTTGTATTCAGGCTGCTTTAAGTTACCAACATGAACTCTAACATGAGGATTATTTTTATAAATGAGATAGATTGCAGCATTAAATCTAGCAAGGTCCTAGCCTTGTGCACTTCATCTTGCAATGACATAACTGTCTCTGGCTTCCCCTCTCCTTTCTCCAGTCAGCTGTGATCAGTGATGAAAAAGCAGCATTCTTCCGAGCCAAAGTGACGGGTAAGATCAAGCTGCTGCACCTGGTGGAAGCTGTGCTCATCATTGTTGGCTCTGTGATGTTCCTGGCATTCCTGGTCGCCTTTTTAATATGCAGAACACAGAAATCAAAATAAGTAAGCAGCTGCTGTAGCAGTTCTTTTGATGAATTTTTATGATGCGGTTCTTTTGGTGTACCCTGTGGTTTTTCAGTTTTTCCTGGAGTAGATTCACTTCCTCCCATATCTGAGATTTGTAAGCCTCAAGTTCTTTCTTTCCTGAATGCTGAAGAGTTTCACAAACATTACTAAATGCTTAGCAAAAACAAATGGAAATGATATTCTCACCAATCTGTACTACCCAAATGCTATAGGTGCAGCTCTTCCTAGCATGGAGAGGCCTGTGATAAGTCTGCTTGCCTTCTAACTATTGAAGTTGAGAAGTTTCTTCTGAAAAAGAGTATATTCAGCATAAAGGGAGTTGAATACACAGGGATTCTAAGCTCAGAATTTCAAGATCTAGGCATTATTATTATTATTATTATTATTATTATTATTATTATTATTTATTATAACATTTCTATGCCGCCCCTTGCCGAAACCTCGGGGTGGACAGATCTGTCCATTTCACCTTCTTTTTCATTTATTTTTTTTAAAGTTTCTTGTTCTTTTTGACCAATTCCGGGAATTTTAATCCCCCAAACTGAACTGGAATGAAATTGTTTCCCATCTCTATGCATGAGAGACAGCTACACTTTTGCCATTTTGTTGAGTTCAGGCACAAATTCTGACAATTAACTTTTCCCCTGAACTCAGTCCTCCAGATCCTTTGGGCTGCAGCTCCCCTGCTTCCAGATGATAGCCCATGTTGGCTTGGGATGAAGCTGGTGGGAATTAAAGCTCCAAACATATACTGGGCACCAGGTTGGAGGCTGCTATAGCTGAATCCTGCCACCTCGGGGGTGCTGAAAGGCATCTTACTGTCCCCTAAGTGCAAATAGCAATTTTGGCTCCTTAGGAGTCTGGTTCTAACCAAATGACAAACACCCAAAATTAAATGGTCACTGGCACTTTCTCAGCCCCACAATTCTGAGAGGTGCAGGAAGTTGACTTGCTAAAGACTAGCCAATAACCTTAGAGTAGGGAAAGCAACCTGGGCCTTTTCACAGTAGAGGTGTGGAGGAAATTAATTAAGTTCACATTTTTGGGTGAACATCTCCAATGCATTACCGTTATCTGAATTGGGACACAGTAAAGCATCGGCATCTGTATATTTTTACCACCAGAGTCCAGATGTCAAACAATGCATAAAATGTATATAGTACAGAAAACTGGGCACAAAAGTGTGTATATTGCAGAGAAATGCATACAAGAGTGCTTGCCTCTGGTGGAACCTGCCTGCAGCTTGGAATGTGATTTGAAAAAAAGAGTCCAAAAATGCGGGGGACTCCTGTGTCAATGGGGACCCTTATCCACTGAAAAGCATGGGTGGCAGAGCGCCCTTCCACCCATGTTCCACAGCAACTGGTGTACATGCACATACCGGTGGTAGCAAATCATCATCAGGACTCATAACCATTAAACAGCCTTGTCAGTCATGAACTTGCCCAATCCCCTTATAAAGCTATCAAACTGGTGGCCATCAGTCACTGCATCTCGTAGACGCAGTTTAACTGTGCACTGCATGCAAGAGCATGTGAATAAGGATAATGAACAATGGTGGATAGAAGGTGTATCTCCAGACATCTGGGACTTCAGCTCCTAGGAATCCCTACCAGCACGGCCCATGATCAGGTATACCAGGAATTGAAGTCCTAAACATTTTGAGATCTACTTTCTGTCTGTACCTTTCTGAAAGGACCACTGTTGCTAGGCCAGGAACTGGGCAGCCAGCTTGCTTTTGGCATGTCCAAGAACTATTAAAGCCATCATTAACCATTGGGAAGTTGCGGGTAAATTTCACTAACTCGCCTTGCTTTCTGTTCTCAGCTATCAAGCTACAGCAGAGGTAGGCAACAGTCCCTTCAGACTTCAAGCAAGGGAAGGGGGGGATTAATCTCCCTGATGACCTTTCTGATGGTATTGCTGGAGTGTGCTTTTGTGAGTGAAATAAGCTGTGAAAGGAACGCCACCTCAGTAAGGAAGTGAAGCATGGGCCTCTTGGTTGAAGAAGAGCCATTTAACACCAAGAGAAAGACTAGCATGAAATCTGAATTTCTGAAGTCCTTTGAGCTGCCTAGTAACACAACGCCTTCAGCTACTTCAAAGGGAACTGCGATCTGGAACCAAGCCTGTGCTGTTATTCATGCACCTCAATGTCCCCTCCCATTGTTTTCTACCTTGGGACTTGTAGAAAGAGTCACTGGCCAAAACTGCCAAGCATCTTAGACGCAACGATATCCTACTTTCATAAATATGTGCAATCCTCTTTCTCCTTCCACCACTTTGAAGAAACGAAGCTGAGCTGTTCTTCCTGTCTTCCAGATATGCGCATTGCTTGAGTCCAGACCCATAGCATCGGGGTGTCAGTAAAGCTGTTGTCCACAGCCGCCTCTGTTCACTTGTGTTTGTGCTCAACTCATTGCAAGTACACACTCACGCACACTACACTTCTTGCCACAGATGTGGAGAGGAGCAGGCCGAGGTCACACCCAGTAATTACTCTCCAAAACTCTTCTTGTGCGAACCTGTAGAACTTGACTCCAGAATGTTTTTTCAGACATTCTCCTTGCCTTGGAGCAATATGAACAATGCCAGTAATCCTCTGTTATGCCACATTTGTGTGTTTCAGGCAAGCAGAAGCTCAGTCCCAGAGGCTAAATGCGTTGCACACAAGGCTTCCTTCTGGCTATTCCAGTGGCCTCATCTAAGAAAGGACAAATAACTGATTTTTGCAGATTCTCTGAACAACATTTCTTGCATTCATTGGTGCTCTTCTTGTGGTTTCATCCAAACCAGAAAAGTTCACATTTCAAACAGGAAAAAGTGCATTTTTTACAAAGTGTACCAAAAATGTGCACCTCCTTCATAGAGTGTGCAAAGACCAGTTCAAGAATTGCAAGGCATTCTTGGTGATCTTGCACTCCTGCTCTTTGCGGGGTGGGGGACAAATTAACATGATTTGGAAGCAAAAATAAAATTCTTACCTGGCCCTAGTCCAACCAGCAATGTCTGGGTGGTTTCTTGGCATTTTTTCCCCACTCCAAAACGTTGAAAAGCCACCCTTAAGGGTAGGTTACTTGTGATCAGAGCTTCATGCTAAAATATGTTGGGAACGTCTCCAAAATAGAATTTAGTATTCACATGCAAAAAAGGCCTGCCCCTTTGGTGTATGTGGTGAGCTTAAAGGCTCAGTAAGCGATGGAGCTGCAAAGTCCTTCCCCTCATCTAGGTGGACCTTGGGAGCAACTGACCTGCCAGAGAGGTGAAAGATGCAGGCAGCAGCTCACAGGTCCACATCTGCACCTTGCCCAGTATGAGCATCCCAGGGAACTGGCTACTCCACTTTGCTCCTCCCTTCCTTGGTGCTTTTCACCTTTATAACTTGGATGTGACTGTCTCTGCATGTACATAACTCCAGATGCCCATTTTATTATGTTTATGTTGAAAATATATTACCATTGTCTACAACGAAATGGTGGTGTTGATTTCCAAGCATTTCTCATTACTACATCAGAAGTGCACACACTTTTATTCCTGGAATGATGGTGTAAGCGGGGGGGGGGGGGTGTTCAGTGTGAAATTACACAAGCTCTGAATTTTTGTTTCCTGGTTGCTGTAATATAGCAGGAACATGGGAAGGCAAGGCATAATGCACAGGGCAAAGAGTTGCTCCTCAATCAGCCTCTTAAAAAGCACTGCTATTTGTTTCATTTTTCCAATGAAGAATGCAGAATGTGTCCCAGAGCAGAGCCTTGGCATTGAATCAGTTTCGCCCTTGCTCAGTGAAAGGCTTGTCTTCTAGAAACACTCCTGTGAGCACCCTTGCAAGGCAGTACGTTTGAAATGCCCTGAAGCATTTGATTACACCAGCCACACTTGGCTTCTGAAGACATTCTTCTAACAAGGCTAATCAAGGGTATAAACTGGAAGTAAATCTCAGAGGAAGAAGAAAAGGCACTTTAAACTAGTGCTGGCCTGAACTCCCACCTCCATTCTTCTCCCCTCTGCATTTTTCAGCTGCTTTTTGCTGATGACATGGTCATGTGGAGTGCAGTGGCAATTTGACTGTTATTTATTATATTTCTATCCCACCTTTTCCCCCTCCAAAAAGGGTGGGAGCTCAACATGCCTGACACCATTCTCTTCCTCCTGCTCTCCGTCGTATCCCCACAGCAACAGCCTTGTGAGGTAGGTTGGGATGAGAGTCTGTGACTGCCCCAAGGTCAGCCAACGAGCTCCGTGGGGACTAGATCCCAGACTGCCGGAGGCCCAGTCCTGCACTCTTAACCACTACGCCATGCTGGCTCTCTTGCTGTTACCTTACAAGTGACCACGGAGGGCCGCTAGGGCTGGAGTCCTGCATGTTTCATTTGGAGCCCCCATCTCTGGTGTGCCTCTTACCCTATCATCTTGTGATCATGGGCCACTGCTGAAATGAGGGCCCTGATAGTCAGTCTGTAAGGAAATCAACCCTGACTGCTCTTTAGAAGGTCAGGTACTAAAGCTGAAGCTCAAACACTTTGGCCACCTAACGAGAAGGAAGGACTCCCTGGATAAGAGCCTAATGCTGGGAACAATAGATGGCAAAAGAAGAAGGGGACGGCGGAGAATGAGGTGGCTGGATGGGGTCACTAGAGGGGTGGGTGTGGGCTTGGGTGGACTCCGGGGGCTGGTGGAGGACAGAAAGGCCTGGAGGAATGTTGTCCATGGGGTTGCGAAGAGTCGGGCACATCTTTGCAGCTGAACAGGTCAGTCTCTGCTGCATCCATGCCCCTTTGATTAAGCCTCTTTTTGCCCATATGTGCTTCACCAACTCCTGAGCAACCCTCTCTCCACTCTTTCTGCCTGAGTTTTTCTGAAACCAGCTGCCCTTCCTTCTCCTGTCTTTGCGTCCTATTTTGCCATGTGGGGTGTCATTAGGAGGCAGGTTCCTTGATGACACAGAGCGTAAAGCACATATGCATCAGCATAAGCGAACGCATACTTCTTTCGCCCCTGAGGACATGAGCCCCGGCAATTTTTGGTACCTAGTGATGTCCAGTTAAACCAGCTGGGGAGCTGTTCTGCCTTTGGATGTCTTCCAGGAATCCCCCTCCAGGCGACATGGTCTCAGGATCTGGCTGCTTCCTCTTGAAGGTCGACTCTTTGAAGTTTCGTACATGCTGAATGGGGCCCGTGACAGAACCTGGCAGACTAGAGTAGAGAGCGAGCCTAGGCTGAATGCGTCTGGCATGCTGAGGGGTTTTCCATTTTATTCATCCAGTTATTTAAGTTTTATGCCACCCAGTAGACGCAGCTCTCTCAGTGGTTTAACACAGCCCCTAATGATACAATACATTACAATAACTATCAAATTCCTTGTTACAGTTCCGTTTTCCTGCCTTAAAACATTACGAGGTGCCAAGTGGCATGTGTTCTTGCCTAGCGATCTTCCTTCCTTATGGCTTTCTGCCAGTCTCCGGTGTTTCCCCTGCTGCCTGGACTCTCTCCGTGACAATGGGAGGATGCTGCCTCCATCTCTCCTCTCAGGGGCTTTCCACAAGCAATGTGACTGGCCAGCCAGTTGCCTGAGGAGCAGCAAAGAGGTTTTCCCCCAAATTCCTGCACCCCAAATGAAAAGGAAGCCAGGAGGCAGCTTGGAGAAGCTGCTGGAAGGATAAATTGACATAGCTATTTCCATAATAATTCAAACCAGCATGAGAGGCAGTTCTCTCCAGAGACCGAGGCCAAATCTTGAGCAGGGAGGAAAAACAGCCATTTGGCTACCATATGATGTTTCAGAGGTAACAGCAAAAAAGCAGTTCCCATATGTGCACACGCTGTTTCTTACGGAAAGATTGCACAGAACATCCCAGAACCCATTTTGTTTGTCATGGGGTAATTTTCTCTCTCCCCGCACCCACATGAGTTCTCCCATGCAAGAACCAAAGAAAAAAACAGACTCAAAGCCCTGCCTTTAACAGACAAACCCACATTTTAGTACCCCAAGCCATTTCTCGACATATCCTTGGGTAAAACCCATCCATGAACAAAAAGGTGCATTTCTGGTCTCTGAATGTACACTGTACAGTCAGAAGTATGCTATTAAGATACTCAAAACTCAAAAAAGTAACACTTTCTTATTGGCGAGAACTGGAATGTTAGGAGTGCTGTGAATATTTTCCAATTCTGTAAGAAATCTGCCTCTGATGAGATGAATGTTCCCCAAAAGGAATTCCAAGCTTACATCTCAGGTGCCTAGATTAGTCACTATCCCAGGAAAGCACCCAATAATTATTCAGAGCCGGCCATGGGTTACACCTTGGCCATAACCTACATAATAAAATACTTAAAGATGCTGAACTAAAGCGTTTGGATAAATCTAGCAGGGCTCTGTGCCTTGAGCTGTTGCCATGTGGACAAATGAGGAGGCCAAAGTTTAAAGGATGGTGCCTTGTTCCTAGGGATATTTAAAAAAAAAACAAAACAGATTCCATCCATTTAGCACATTTCTAATTGTGGGAAATTGCCTAGCATTCTTGGAACTCTGCAGCTTGCAGTCTCAACATCTTGAATTAAATCTTGGGCTTCAGTGAAGTAATTGGGAATGCTGCCATTAAGTAGATAGGTGATACTGCCAAAACGTAAGCTAATTGAATAAATGTAAATTGATATGCCATCCAATAGTGAAATTGCAGATAAGCGATTTAGACGATGGCCACCAGATGGCAGTGCTACATTTCCAAGCCAACTGTTGTGGGCTTGGTAAAAAAGGAATCGATTTTTGTAGAAAGGCAAGTACCAAAGTTTTATCACTGCCCCAGGAAAATGTTGAGGTATGTATAATTGAAGAAGTGTCCATCATTGGCAGAAATAAAAATTATTATAATTTATTACTCAGAGCTAGTATGGTGTGCTGTAGCAATGAACTACAGTTGAAAAGTCCCTGAATCAAAATTTTTATCAGCCATGAACTCATTCGGTGGCCTTAGGTAAGCCATTCTCTCTTTTTCTTATCTGCAATATGATAAATTATAATACTGTCCTACTTAATAGAAGTGTAAGGATTTTACTGTTACAGAGAGTTGGTAGGTTGCATTAAATGTATCCTGTTAGCTGAAAAGTTTTATGTTATCTGCAATAGTTGAAAATGAAAACAGGACACGAATATTTGTGCATAAATAGTTTCCATTTAGTGGGAGTGCACAATCTCTTCCTGTAGAGGGGTAGGATTCCATTTTGGAAAAGGTTCAGGGGCTGCATTGAGGCTGACGGAAAAATTGCAGGAAGATAGGCAGGCAAAGGAAAAGGAGCTTGGGCCAAAAATACTGGTGCATTTTAGCTGAAATCTCTTGTTCCCAGTAAATAAGCCTTAGGAGAGCTGTTTAGACCTTTTAGAGCAGGAGGATCAGAAAAAATAAAAACCAGGAAGCCACTAAGCTCCTGGCAGTCTTAGGAAACAGGCTGCACCAGAGGAAAAGGCATGGCTATCAGGAACCCCAGGAGAGCTGGCTTTGGTTGCAGGCCTGAGGTTTTGCAGCCCAACGTATAAAGTGGTCCCACATCAGATCTGCGCAAATTAAAGACATGTTAATGTGCGTTATGGGCTTGAGTGGAAGTGTATTCTTGTAGCTGCCATCTGATGTTGGAGGACCTGCCCCCATTCCTTCCTTTCCCAGCTCATCAGGATAGTCCCTCAACCATCTCTGTCACATTTTCAGGAGGTTTGGGGGGTTGCTATGGGAGGGGAGGGGCTGGGAAGTCCACTGCACATGCCTCAGACTAGCTTTGTACGTATTTGTTGTGCCCCTGTTGGGTATTCAGTCCACTCAGCTTCAGTGACGACGCAGAGAAGTGGAAATGGCCGGACTTGAGAAGTTCAGGGAAGGAAGAAGCTGAAAGCTGGCCCTCTTCCTGATTCCAGTCTCAAAGGTGTTGTCTGGAACATTCTTGCTTCTCCTGGCTTTTCAATAAAGGCCCCATTCTGCCCTTTTTTGGTATGGAAGTGGTGGCCTCTTGGTAAGTTTAGCTTTCTCCTTCTTTTGGGGTTGTGAATGTCTCAAGCACGGTCCATCTTGAACGTGAAGACATGTGTGAATTTGGGCTCAACTTATCAAGCCAACTGAGCTGAACCCTCCTCTGCCAGCCAAATGCAATTGGCACAAAGGCTTATAGCACCATTGTGCATCTGCCAGTCATAGAGCTGTCAAAGACAAGGTGTCTGCAAGAAAAAAATCGTTGGCAACCCTCATTCGCTTCTGCCATATCGAATACAGAGGAATTCAGTTCCAGTATCTGAAAGCTGGACATTCAGTGGCCATATCAGTCCATTTTGCTTTCCGTACATCCATTTTTTGGGGAAGGAGATAAAATCTCAGTTTTTCTATTTGTGAATTCTTAATAAAAAAAAAAACACAACTAAATGTGACTCTCTTATGCTACTCCATGGCTCCATTTTATTCACAAATATTTTATTCACAAGCTATTCTTCAGG